CTGTCATACCGGCAAATGGCTAAATCGCCAACCAAACTTGCGCCGAAGGCCTTCGGAACGCTCGGAACCGGTCGGATCCTCGAGCCGGTATACGACCGCAGCGCCGCCGCAAATGTCCGGGACCTCTCTACGCGCGCCGTTCGTCGGAGCCTCATCCCACTAGCACTTTTTAGTATGCGCCTTGTATCTCTGCCGCTTGGTGGCGGGTTTGTCGACGGGTCTTTTCTTGTTTCGGTGCTTTATAAACTGCATTTGCTTCTTTTCTGGTCTAAAATACTGAACAAAAACTACTTTCATACATAATCGAAACGGTTCGCGACACTTATATTTTGTATCTCGACTAAATAAAAAAAAGAAAAGCTTTTAGCGGCTCTGACCAGTAGTAAGCCCAGGACCGAAGACGTCACATATTGCGCGCTTTCGGCAACGCGGTTCGCCATCGTAGGTGGAGGAGGTTTCGGCCTCGTCCGGTTAAAATATGACGCACTGATGTTTCGTTACTCTCTCCGTGCCCGCTGGCTTGCTCGAACCCCGAGAGACGTGGAGACCGCAAAAAAGGTAGACGCTTAATTATGATTGCAGGGCCCCTTTAAGCCGCTCGTCCCACACTGCTGCTGCTGCTCTCGTGCGTGTGTGGTTTTTTTTTTATTTTTTTTTTTATCTTCATACCCGTCGTTTTGTATTCGTCACCACAGTCTCGGGTATTTTTTTTTTTTTTTTTCGCTTGATATTACAGCATTTACGGGGATTCGCGAAACAAGTCCTGCTACGGTTTGAGTGACGTGTGTGGCAACTAGTCAACGATGACACGGGCCGATGACCTCTCTATCTCGACAGGTTGGTTTTGGTTTTGGGGTTTTTCGGCGCAGCAGCATCGGGCCATAGTGTGCTAGAAACATTGTGTAAAGGGAGCCTACATTCTTTAAGGACAGACTAAAGCCTCAAAGCGGACCTTACTAGGAACTAGACTTATAATTTCCGCAGAATATTAATTTCTTCCAAAAAATTGGAAACTTGTGAGACTGGGACAAGAGGCTCGTCACCCAGTAAGAGTGCCAAGTGAAATGGTACATGTTTCCGATAGAATATAGAAAACCAGGTTCGACGGTTCTCTTCAAAGTGTGGACAAACTATCAAAATGTGAAGTATACTTAATGGTTCAGAACAGAAGTCACAGGTCGGTTCACTCTCCCTACGCAAGAGGTAGCTATGGGTAAGGTGGGTATGTCCTATTCTCAATCGGCATAAAACTATCTCATAAAAACGCTCTCGGTGTCTGGCACTGCGCCACTCGCTCAGGATGGGCTTAATCATATGGAGTTTGTTTTGCAGCTGGGAATCCCATTCCCTCTGCCAGGCATATTTTATTTGCCTTTTTAGTGGTACTCCGTAATCAGTAGCACGGATGCTGTTATGGTCAACTGTCCTATCTACACACGCAGAAGCTGCACGGTCAGCTAGCTCGTTGCCTTCAATGCCAATATGGCTAGGGACCCAGCAGAATTCTATCTGTATTTTCTTTGCCAGTGCTTGTGTTAGTGTATTACAAAGTTGCACAAGCAGAGGGTGCTTCCAAGATGTTGGAGAGTTGAGTGCTTTCAGTGAGCTCAGATAGTCGGAGAAAATGACAGATTTTCTATATCGATGTCTGACAATGTGGTCAACTGCAGTTATCAGAGCATAAAGCTTGGCAGTAAAAATTGAGGCATTTTCGTTTAACCTTTTTACAGATCTGTAGCCCTCGCCGATAGCAGCACAGCCAACGTAGTCTGTGGTTTTTGATCCATCAGTAAAGAAATGCTTGTAGCCATTGTACGAGGTACACAGCTTTAGGAATTCTTGCCTGAGAACACTAGGGTCAACTGTATCTTTTTTGTGCTTGGTCAAAGAAAGATTACAACAATTATTGGCAACTTTCCAGGGTGCAGTTCTTTGTTGAATTTCAAGGACAGGAGAGAGGTCATCAAAATTGTATTGTTCTGTAGCAATTCTTACAGGTAGTGCAAAGGGAGGGGTTATAGATGGTTTGTGCTGAAATAAGCGCTAATAGTTTATATTTTTAATTATTTCATAAGCAGGATTTTGCGGAAAAGAACGGAGTCTTAGAAAGTACTGACCAGCGAGAAAAAGTCTACGTCTCTCGAGCGAGCACTCGTGCGATTCAGCGTACAGGCTAAGTACCGGCGACGTACGGAATGCCCCCGTTGCCAAACGGATCCCCTGATGGTGAATAGGATCAAGCATCTTGAGGGCGGATGGTTTCGCAGATCCGTAAACAAGGCTTCCATAATCCAGGGTAGAGCGCACTACAGCCCTGTAAATTCGTAAAAGACATACCCTGTCCGCGCCCCAGGTGCGATGTGAAAGAACTTTTAAAATGTTTAGTTTCTGCTGGCATTTCAGTTTCAGTGCCTTGATATGGGGGCCGAAAGTAAGCTTGCTGTCAAACGTCACACCGAGGAACCTGTGTTCCGGTCGGACGGGAAGGGGTGTGCCATTTATGTGGAGCGATGGTTCGGGAAACATTCCCCTTCTCCGGGAGAAGCAAACAGCCTCGGTCTTGTCAGCAGAAAACTTGAAACCATTCTCATCAGCCCATTTACTCATTTTATTAATGGTTACTTGGACTTGGCGCTCACAGATAGCTAAATTACATGACGAAAAGCAGACCTGGACGTCATCGACATAAAGCAAGTAGGAGACCGAAGGTGGTATTGCTCGGGACAGAGAGTTGATTTTAATAAGAAAGAGGGTAACGCTCAGGACACATCCTTGTGGGACTCCATTCTCCTGGATGAAACATGACGAAAGGGTTGTTCCCAATCGCACCTGAAAGGTGCGATCCTGCAAAAAGTCTGCGATGCAATTAAACATATTCCCGCCAATAGTCATCTTGATAAGGTCTTGAAGGGTACCGTACCGCCAAGTGGTATCGTAAGCCTTTTCAAGGTCAAAAAATACTGAAAGGCAGAACTGCTTGTTTATAAAGGCCTCTCGGATGGCCTTTTCCAATCGTACGAGGTGGTCGGCACTGGACCTGGCGGCACGAAAGCCACGCTGTAAATTGCTTAAAAGCGAGTTCCGTTCAAGAATGAAGATAAGCCTATTGTTAACCAGCCGCTCGAATGTCTTTCCCAGGCAGCTAGTCAGGGCTATAGGCCTATAGCTGGAGGCTTTACTTCTGTCTTTTCCCGGTTTGAAGATAGGGATCATCGCAACAGGAGCATGCTGCTCCTGTTGCGATGATGGGGCCTTTAGGTCAGCCGCCAAGTTCTCAGGAGAGGCCTGGGTGGCCCTAGTCTGCAAGCGTGGTGCAGGGCCCCTGTGCACCACCTCCGTGTAACCTCCTTTTGCGAGGAAGGATAGCTTCTTCTTAGCGTCCAAGTAGGGGATATTCTCCTTTGCCTTTAGGGAAAGAATTTCGTTTTTTTGACACCAAATGGGACAGGTGCGGGAGTAAGCTGGGTGGGGCCCACTGTAGTAACTACAGCGGGCCGCTGCCTCACAGATGTCAACAACATGTTCCAGGCTTACAGATATCGCACAAGTTTTTTTCCCTCGGCAACTGCATGTCGCATGCCCAAAGCACTGGCAGCGGAAGCAGCGTTGCTGGTTGGGGACATAGGGACGGGTACAACACTTCACAGTTTCAGGGAGGGTGTGTCTCTTAAAAGTCAAGATGACGTGCTTTGATGAGGTTTCCTTGCCATCCTTCCGGAACATGATACGTTTAAAAGCGACAACACCGGCATATTCAGTCCTTCCAGGATTTCTTCCTCGCTAGCGTCGAGGAAGCCGTCTTCAGAAATGACTCCACGGATCGTGTTGAGCTTCCGGTGAGGACTCGCGGACATCTTGACGTCAACTATGCTGGTCATCTTGGAGAGTGCCTCACTTTGGACTTCCGTGTTTACTTCAACAAGAAGGTCGCCGGAGTAAATTTTTTTTTTTTGCTTTGTATAAGAACCTGATGAGGTTTTCTAGCACCTTGGCTACCACAGGGGGGACAGTTTGGACACTGGTTTGTCTTCGAGGTTCGAGTGGATCACAAAAAAAGCTTTGTAAATGTCCCCATTTCAGGGGCTTCCCCAATGAGTTGCTGCTCAGGGCGAGGCCTCTTGGAAGCCTGCCTTAAACCGGGTTTAGAGAGAAGGGGCGCCTTATGAAGGGCAGAAATTTCGGCATCTAGCGAACCACCCACCACGGAATCCAACGATAGGATAGGTAACATCTCATAACAGTTCTGGCTTGTCTCTGTATGTTCTGTTGCCACCGAAGATTAGCTGTGGCCGCCAAAGAAGGTGAAATAGGAAGGAAGATGATAAGAAGAAGGTTAGATATAGGAGAGAAGAAAGGCGACTGACTCAACCATCCTGGTCAGGCCAAGCTGTCTACGAGAAGCAGGGGCCGAGGGTACCCCATGCTCAGCTCAACAACCAGGATCCCCTTTTTCCCGGACACGGGTTAAGCCACGCCCAGCCAGACGTGGGGGGGGCGAACCCACAAGGCTCGGGGTTTGTATTGACGCCACTCACCAAGCACCTATTAAAGCCCTGCATGCGGGTATGATGGCCAGCGTGGCTGTGGTCCGTGGTGATGCTACTCTCCAAACACCTCCTTTCGTGTCAATGCATTTTTTAGCTCCCGCGGTGCTGCAGTTCTATTCTGCTGCAGGGACACCCTCTCGCGTGAAGGAGACAGTTGCAGCACTAAGAAATATAAGCTAGCCTTGAAAACGTGCCACAATAGTTGACGCCGAGTAGAGGCATTTTCACTGTTTTCAAATCGACGGCCCAGCGTGCGACCCCACAGAGCGAACGTATCCGTGGCTTCGGGAAGCGAGCAAAGCATACGGTACGTATAGGTAACGAACCCAGAAGATGGCAACGGCCAGAAGCCCTTTTCTGGAATGGTCTTATAGCCGGTGTTGGTCAAGGTCGCGATTCGATTTTGATGCGAGCTGTTCTGCCAATAACCAAATATAAATTCTTTTTTTTTTATTATTGGGAAATGGGGTGTTTTGGGGGAGGCGGAGAGTGGACGTATGAGGATGGGCTCCCGTAGGCGGCGGCCTGGGGAAAGGCAGAGCGCGGCTTTTCGGCCCGGTACATGTCGGGCAGCTGTTGAGCGTCGGCGGGGGCCACGAAGGGCGCGCCCGACGCGCCGGGCGACAGGGCCAGCGACGGCGTCGGGGTCGGCTGGGACAGCAGGCAGCGGTAGTAGGCGTGCTGCAGGGTGGTGGTCACGCGCACGTACTCCTCGACGATGCCCAGCTGGCGGCGCAGCTCCTCCAGGCACAGCATGATCCGCTCCCAGTCCACCTTGTCGTCCGTGACGCGGAACCTCACGCGAGTCTGCGTGCGCGAAGCCAGCGCGCCTGGTTGCCTATCTAGATATTCTAGGCCAAGTTCCTTTCATCACCTAGTGGGGTACTGTGTAAAAATCGCACTTGTTTCCATACTTTTTACTCACTGCGATTTATCGTTTTTTTTTGCGTGCGTTTTGATTTTGTTATGTTCGGTTTGGTGCAGCTTAGCGTGGTTGTGAATGCGTTCAACGACCGGGCATCCCGTCGAATGATGCGAGTATTTGATGTTCAGGGAAGCGACGTGGCTGATTCACGCGACGTCGTATAGCGGTAGGATGAGGTTTGTCCCCATTCGCTACGCTCCCTATAAAACTTTTCTACACGGGCGCCGCCATCTTGAAACGCGGAACTTCCGACAGGCTGGAAAACATTGTTTTGCTCCGGCCACATGACTGGGAGAAGCTCAGGTTTTAATCGCGACTGTTTCTTTTTTTTTTTAATATATTTTTACTTGTTCTAAATTGTAAAGCCTTGCTTTTCTTATCCCGGATTTCCCAACTACGTGGCAGGAAACGAAGGTATAAAAAAAATACTTTTTTGATGTGATGGAGAGTTGTAACGTCAGATGCCTCCTCTATCCTTTGGTGCGTGACGACGTTATGAGATCACCTTAGTTGTGGAACTAAGGCGGAGGGTACCACCCCTCACTCCCTTCAGTCCGCCTCCCGCCGTTTGAAGCGCCATCTTGACTTTCGTTTCAAAACTGTGTGTTCCATAGAGTACGGTGTAACGCCATCTAAACGATGTGCTTCGAATCGTGCCTATTCCATAGGCTACACTGCAGTTACTATAGCAGCCGTCCCCCCCCCCCCCCCCCCCAAAAAAAAGGGGGGGGGGGGGGGGGTGTCGAACGACGGGAGGCAAGCAGCGAGGAGAGGGGTGGGGTATTGCTCGTGTGCACGCTTAGTCTATGGGCAGTTCCGTAACTGAGCTCATCTAATAGCGTTGGTGCGTGATCCGCAACGTGACGTCTTGAGAGAACGTGTGCGGTTACGCTTTGTGATTCAGAGCCAGCAAGGTGCGCCTCCCGTCAGTCATATTTAGTCCAGCTGCTTGCACTCCGCCCCCCCCCCCTCCGCCCCCCCCCCCCCCCCCCCCTCTTCCCGTCGTGGAGCCGTGAAAAGACTCTGGGCTGCGAATTTCCGTTTTGGTTCCCGCTGAACCGCTTCGTAAATGTAATTAATTACCTCAAACAACGTTTAGGTATGATTAATTCGCTTCTATATGATTCAGTGTAAATCACTATGTCTAAGTATGCCTCCAGTATGTTTTGTATACAAGGTGTCACAAGAAAAATTACGAGGTTTTTCTTTTGCCGCAAAAATAAACTATAGGCATCGCTGAACGCTCATCCTCCGCCCAAAGGTAGCGCTAGGGGTCACAACGAAATGCCAAAGTTTCAGCCCGATCCGATAAGTTATTCAAAATTTATTAGTGATTTTTTGAAAATTTTAATGGGAGGATGGCGGCCCACTGAGTTTTCGTATACATGGGTCTCTATAGCACCAGAAACAGAAAACGGGCCAAAATAGGCTCCATTTTCCCATTGAAACACTCAGAAAAGCACGCATAACTTTTGAAAAAGTTATCGCATCGGGCCGAAACTTTGGCATCTGGTTGTGACCTCTAGTGCTACCTTTGGGCGGAGAATGAGCGTTCAGCGATGCCTAGTTTATTTTTGCGGTGAGAAAAACCCTATATTTCTTCTTTTTTTTTTGACACCGTGCACTTACGTAAAGCCTAGCAGTATTGGCTATGTATGCTTGATGTGGTCCTTGGCGGGTGTGTAACGGTCTCTCGTTTTGCTTTAGTTTTACTAGTTTCGCTTAGAATCCAGCCTTTAAAGGGATGCGGAACCGAAATCTGGATTCCACAAGACACGGAGGCAAAAGCGTGCTACCGGGATGTTAAAAACAACAAAACATAACTCGTACAGCGATATCTCAAACAGATCACCGTATTTTTCAAAAAAAGGAGGCGCATTTGACAGATATATGGACGTTTTGTTTCTCCGAGAAGAGTCGAGAAGGAGTGAGAACGGCCTCGCGTCTTGTACGCCTCGCCGCCTTGAGGGGGCGAAGCGAAGAGGAGAGGAAATGAGATTTCTTAACATCACGCGCCTCGTCGCCTCGTCGGCGTCGTTTAATTTCGACCTCTTTTTCTGAAAATACGGCCGGCCATACGAAATATCGCCTTACGAGTAGTGTTCTAGGGATTGTAGCGTCCCGCCTACAGCTCTTGCATTGTTTTCTGAAATCCAAATTTTGGTTCAAGATCCCTTTAAAGACATTCTACGTGAAAATTTATATGTATCTTTGTCCTACTGATCAGGGCGAAAGTTTAAATGCGCAGCGTGTTGTCAGGTGCGCTGGGTGTTGCTGAATTTGACAGACGCTGACCCGAAGACCGCCAAAGTTAGCGGATGGTGGCCACGTGACGTCATCAGATAGACGGGGTTACAGTATGTTTATGGTGTCGCGTCGTGTAGTGAGTGACGTAACGTGACGTGGTCAGCTGGTTGGAGTCACGTGTTCAGGTAATGCTATGACAGCGCGTGACTACCAGCTAGCTGATAAGGTTAGGTGTCTACCGCCCCGCTGACGAGGTCACCTGCCCAACGTCCTCCATTTGATGGAAGATTCTTAGCACTGAAAGTTAGCAACTCCGCAACGTATTAAAGCGGACATGGGACGTTTTTCTGTAGATGTCTCAAGGCGCCACGTAATGCTTCATTAGGGGATTCCAAACCTCAAATAAATACCGTGCTCAATGAACGCATAGAAATGTTTAGGGTTCCATGCTGTTAGAGGAATGGTTGCTAAATTTAAACTTCTTGCTGTAGTGCCGACGTTTTGTCTCTAGGTCACTTGAGATCGAAATATGTGTAACAGTTTACGGGAACCCCGCGCTGTACTGGCACCTCCTGTTTAAGTTACACTATTCCTGTGGGCTGCGAACAGTAGTAGTGGCAAGCGTAAGGAAGGGGGCAAAGAATACGTGTCGCTGCCGTGTGGTGGAGCCAAAGAAGCATTCGCAAACTTGTTGTGCGGTGAAGCCCAACGCAAGCTACGAAGCAACTCGCCAGCGATCAACTGGCAATACTTACCTCCTTTCGTCTCCGCTTCGCGTAAACTCTTCGGATTGGCTGAGGTGCCTGCCTCTTTTTGAGAAACATGCTCGGAACTGCTAACCTAGCAACCATTTACTGAAGATAAACCTCGTCTTCTTCCTCATCCATTCGTTCCGAGATATGTGACTAATGGGTGTGGGAGAAGATCATCAGTGAATGGTTGCTAGACCAGCAGTGTGTTTATACTCTTTCTCTCTCTCTTTTCTTCGTACTTCTTCCTGCATTTAGCTGGCATATTTTAGAAGCTTGAATCACCAACTAGCCAAGTATCGACGGACGCACGACGCACGAAGCAGACGACCAAGCGTTCGCGCTAGTTTGCACTGCATCAGAGCTTCCTGGTCGCGATTGATTATGTTTCGGTATTATGTCGCACCGAACTCACTTGGAAACAAGGCGGCCACATTTGTAGAAACATTGCACAAGTTAGAAACCATTTCTTTTTGTAATAATAATTCAAATACACCACAATAAAAAAAAAACATTCAAACAGTCGCTTGGAGGTGTCACTAACCCGTTCGTGCGTGTCGTGGGATGGAGTATCGGGCATCGCGTAACTTATAACCCGTTCGCACATCTCGTGGAGAGAAGCCGACAGGCATAGTGTAACTTATATAGGAGGCACTGGCTGTACTTGTAGGATCTATCCGCATGAATGTCACAATTTCGACATTCAGCCTCAATATTATACTTCTAATTATTAGAAAGTTGTGATGAATAGATATTCAAATATAATTTCGTGCTGTCTACACTTCGTTTATCTTAAGTTCAGACGCAGCCGATGCTACATGCGCGGGCATATGACCCTGCACAGTGCCATAGCCTCTTTTATACTGACAAAGCCTGGCAGATCGCCTCGAGAAGCGGCCACCGAAATGGAAAAGGTGGAATGCAGACAACTGATGAGAGGAGAGCCACCTGACTGGCGCCCAGCTTCGGCGAGACGCCGAAACACACTTCTCGCGAGCGAACAAGTGTGTTTCGGGTCCTCACGCTGCAAAAGTTGTGCGCTGACATCCAGGTTCTCCGAGAAATGGCTCTTTGATGCTCTGTGCTATCCGATCCTCGCTCTCCAAATCTGCGACCGTGCAATCTATGCCTCCTTCGTCGAACTGCCAGTCTTTGTGAGTATAGGCGACGTGAGCGATCGAAAGCGTCGCTGTGGTCGGCCCTTCAGGATTGGCCGAATGCTGACTATGACGTCAACAAAGGATTTCTCATCGACAGAAATAAGAGGATTGTAAGAACTTCAATGTTTACGGTGTTGGCAGTGTTGCTTTAAGAGCGCTATGATTTCAGGTTTCCACCATGCCCGTTACAAACACCATCGAACTTGTTGTTCACAAGGTAATGACGTCACGAAAGGTAACCGAACGAGGGCGCCACCGAAACATCTCGCCGCTAATACAGCAGGCTATGGCAGTGCTTGCACTGCACGAGAGCGCGCGTTTGGCAGGGGCGTTGAATGCCCGGAGCTCGCTCTTGTATCTTCTGCTACGCTCACACTCAAAGTGAAACGGAGTATACGTAGCAAGATACTCGGACATATGTATATACGTCTGTATTTATGTACGCCTTGACATGAGTGCCTCGATGCGTACCTGAGGTACAGTTCTCTCCTACCTTGTACGAAACACGCGTATTGTATCTTATCTCGTGGAACCTAACGGCAATCGAAAGACACCTTTAGACGTAGCATTCAATGGAGCATCCCTAGCGGATATGTGCCCGCTTATCGTCGTAATCGCGGCTGGTCGGTAAACACCGGGATTTCGGTAGCCGTCTAATCATCGTAGTGCGGCGGGGTGGCGATAAGCATAAATTGCCCGGCCGGCAAAATCGCTGATGTGTCTCAGGCTCCAGGGTCGATTCCGGCTTTGAGAGAGCGGACTCTCTGCTTGGGCAGAAGAGTCCGCTCACTCATTGAGCGCTACGTCATGAACCAGTTTCACTTCTGCCGCGGGAGCGCTGGATGCCAATGTTGGTTCAGCCAACGGTGAAACCTCTATGCCAATATTGTATACAAAAATTGCGGTGGCTTAGCTCGGCTATGCCTGGATTTACGTAGCGTGAGCTTATGCGCACAAAATGAGCGCTCCCCCTCTCCTTCCCCCTCCTTCAAAAAAAGAAAGTTCGCGCGTTTTATGCAAATTAGGTGAGCACTGTGCATTTTAACGTGATTGTCTGCAACCTTGTTTTAAGGGCACTCTAGGAGTAATTTTAAAGCCCTAGCTGTCTGCAAGACTACATGAACCATGTTCGACCAGCTCACCTGTAGCCTCGTTTCAAAAATGTCCCGTTCAGGGAAGAGCCCCTCCATCTCGTCGGCGATCGCCTGCTCGGCGGCGTCAGCCAGGCCCTCCAGCCCCGCCAGCGAGAACGTGAGCTCGTACCCCGTCTCGGCGTGGCGCGTCTCGTACAGCGTCGAGGGTCGCACGCGACCACGGTGCAGGAACATGGTGCGCTTTCCGATGGCCTCGGCCTCCTCGATGCTGCGAGCGGGTCTTCGATTTATGCATCCGGTCATAGATCATAAAAATACTTGCTCAATGCAATACAACATATAAGCTAACCGAGAGAAAAATCTTTTAGCCTTTCTACTTTGGTAAGAAGGAAGACCAGCGAAGCTGGCCGCAAGTCGGCAAGCCAGAGTGAAGAGGCTCGAAAGGTTGCCGCTATCTATGAGCGATGGCGGCAACCAGACAACCGGCTTCCCGGTTTCCTGGTTGTCGCCGTCGCGCATAAATGGCGGTAGCTGTCAATAGTTCTGTGTCATCAAGTCATTTGAGGACGGACACGATCCTCGGGAAACTAGCCCTTAACAGCTCCGCTCTAAACAACACATATACATCGGCTGCCCATAAAAGGGTTCTCACAGGAGAATTGTTGTAATTTTTGACTGAACCCTTGCTAAAACTAACTTGCTTAATATAAACAATGAATTATCTCCACATTTATACTTTCGACTAAAAAAGTGTATAAACGTGGTTGTTTTCTTAGGTGATAATCTAGTCAGTCAATTGGTGGGCTTCATCTTCTTGGCAGCAAACCACTTGGTTCGACACCTTGTCTATGGCCGCTCTCGGTTTATGACCACAACGTAGCTGGGGCGGGATGTCAACAAATGTGGTCTCAATTCCAATACTGGCAGTTTGTACCTCCTTCCACAGTGCGTCTGCATAGGATTTCCGAAAAAGAGGTGGGGATACTACTTTCTGTGCATCACGGTAGCTCAGCTTTTGTAGGGCCTGAGCCGTACAATTTTATTCTTATATTGCCTGGATCGGCTGCTGCGCGCGTAGATAAGGCGTTCACCCCCGCAGTTTACACAATGGAAAGAGCGAGAGCACTACTTAGAATAATGTTAATTGCTGGAGCACTCTGCAGAGCGTTCCAATCATCGACATAGTGCAGTTTGGTTGCCGCGCCGATTTCACTTGAAGCAACGAAGTGGGCTATACTAGTTTTTTTTTTTTTTTTTTTAATTTCCTCTCCAGTGAGTGGAAGGGCAGGGACAAAAATTTACTTCAGTAGTTTGACGAGATCCCTGCCCGAGTTCAAAGGGTAGGGAACGCAGTGATGCATACATAGAAAACGAGCAAAAATATAACTATACACACTATAAAATGAAGCATTTATAAAAAAAAAGCTAAGTGGGTTCGAATGCGTTAGTGGCTGAACATCACAGATAGGGAAATCTAGGGTGCCTACATATTTCCGCCAGTCCGCTGTTTAGGGTGGAGACAACGTTTGTGGTACCTGTTGCCGACAAACCAGTGTTGCCTACCTCGTTACCATGGCAAGCTCCGCTGTTTTGGTCGACCATTTTGTCTCCCTCGCCGGTCGTGCGCTCGGACTACGCCGCTAATCCTCGTTAGGGCTAGGGAGCGCTCACCGCTCTCGTTCCAATGGCGAGGTTTCGGCGTTCAATGCCGGTCTGTGGCGTTCCATTTTGTCGCGGAAACTCGCGTTTCGATAAAAGCAATGCACACTTCTTGCTCGCAGCTTCAAAATATGAAACACCCTAATAAAGAGAGCGACAGCCACGAATACCGCCATCCCGCTACGGTGGACACCGTAATCCCGCTGAGCCTCCGACCCCTCTTATGAACGGAAACGGAAGTGGCCTCAGTGTTGCCGGTGTGTCGAGACTACAGAAACTCAACGTTGTGTACGTTTAGCGAACTAAGAAGTGGGAAAGAATGGTGGTGGGAGAGGATCTGGGAAAGGGTAACAAGAAGTTGGCGCCACCCTAAAGCGGAGCGGAAACATGTAGGCACCCTAGGGAAATCATTTGCGACTTTGTGACAGCTTTAGGTATGAAATGATATTGTACCAATTCGTTTAGTAATTCAGGTAGGTTTTGTTTCACTTATTGGTGTTCATATGTTGTTTGATATCTCGGGACAAACCATTTATGTCGTGTATTATGAAGTGTGAAATGCTGGTTCAGATTCAGAATTTAAAGTACCCTGTTGGAAAATATTGATGATGGAAAGATGACGGAAAAGGCTCATACAAGCGTAACCGTAATATGGGACATCCTATACAAGCGAAAAAGGCGGCTCCAGTATAGTGAAATAAGGCGGAACGATACAGGTGGGCGGAACCATACGAGCGTGTCGTATTATGGGACATCCTATACCAGCATAGTGGATTAAGGCGGAACCATGGAGGTGGACGGAACCATACATGCATAACGTAATATGGGACATCCTATACCAGCAAAAAGGCGATACCAGCATGGTGGAGCCATATGGCTCCAGCATGTTGGTTTCGCCTTTTCACTGTTGTACAGGGCGATTTAGTTTTAAGCTTTACATATATGTTTAGAAAGGTCGTGAAAGCTAAATTAATGCGGTTTGTGCAGGCGAGTTATACGGCCAGGCGTACGTAGTATAGGGACCTAGTCGTAACGATCAGTCAGATAATTAAATACAATTTGTTAATCAACTTTTTAATTAGTGAAAATGAAAATATGGTTTCAATTAGAAACTTGCTGAGTCATTGAAAACCACAAAATCAAGTTTTTTTTAGAAGGATATAATGCAGGGGTAGCGTTTTATGCATTCTGTAAAAAGCTTTATTTGGATGAGTTTCTAGGTTTCAGTTTCTTACCAGAGCTCATCTCTGCGCCCACGGTCCTGTTCCCCAGGGGCTTAGACACGCAACACACGTGCGCCTTGCTTCCCTTCATCCTACGAGGGAGGCGAGGGGGCGGCTTCGCACTGTGGCCACTGGGCAGCTGGACCGCAGGTGCAAAGATGCGCTCTGGTAAGAAACCGAAGTCTGGAAACGCGTCCAAATTGACCATTTTTTTTAGAACGCCATAAAATGCTACTCTTGTCTTATATCTTTACAAAGAAAATTGATTTAGTGTGTTTTGATGATGCTTAGCAAGTTTCTAATTGGAACCATGGGTCTATTTTAACTGATTAAAAATTTCACGAACATACTATACTTAGAGAGAGGCTGAAGCAGTTTTCTATTTGAGAAAACACTTAAATCTTCTTCATTCGACCTCCAGAATCTCAAATATCAAAATTATTTGCTAATTTAATTAATCGAGGCTGCATAGTCATTTTTAAAGCGCTGTGAAAGCACTTCCCTAGAGAGCGACGTCACAAGAGCAGCTTTCAAAATCTTTGTTCACGCATCTTCAGCGCCTATCAAAGCTATGCACGCACATGCTATTTTTTAAAAGGGCAGAAAAATGTGTCACGACTGGTGCCAATGCCGGAGAATATACCTAGAAAACTTGCGATTGGACGAGCGGCCCTTAAGCGACACACGCTTGGCGGCCGAAAGGTCTTCTTACGATGTCACTGTTGGTAGGATGTTTTTGTGTGTTTTCTGACGTTTAGTTATATCTTTGAGGAAAACGAACGGGATATTCAGATTCGCGGGATAAAACTACGCTAGAATGAACCTCCATCTAGTTTTCTGAAAGAAGTCTGGCACATCTCTGTAATAAGCCGACGGATCATTACAAATTAGCCTTTTATACTATGCCGCCCTGGCCATATAACTCACGTGCACAGACCGTGTAAATGTAGCTTTTACGGCTTTTTTAAAAAAAAATCTGTAAAACATAGAAAAAAACACTGTAGAATGTCCCCCAATACGATACGATTGTATGGTTCCTTCCCCGCTTGCATTGTTCAAGAAAGACTTGTGGACATCCAGCATTTCATTGGAATGCTGGATGTCAGCGAGTCTCTACATCAGTGAGTGGTTTCAAACAAGCATGATGTTTGCACACCAGTAAGCTCTTATCCGAGGCTCACCAAGAGCACTAAGAGCAGAGGCGAAATGTCGTGACCTGGTAAATTTGGTTGCAGGTATTTATTTTTACAAGAACTGCATGCAGCAAAGCTTAACTTTGCTCAAAAGAAGATTATTAAAAATTCAATACTGAACAATGGTGTCCCTTGAGCTGTCAGACCAAACTCCCACTCTTGCCACTCAGGAGTTCCTAACTTGTGCGTGGAGGATCAGCATAACCCAGATTTGTGCTGCGAGCGCACCTGCAATATAAAAGTTGAATAAACATGAGATGAAATATGAGACGTTTACAATTCTCTGTAACGTGAAATTAGAGCACAGATCTTGAAGAGGAGGATGGGAGGGTATGCCCCTCCTCCCCCTCCCCTCCTCCTCTTCTGCTCCCTCCCATTTAGCGGGAAATTTCCCTGAATTTAGCGGGAAAATTTCCCCACTAAATTTAGCTGGTTAAGTTTCCCCCTAAATTTAGCGCAGAAATTGATGTCACATGACCTCAACACAAATGCAGTTTTTCCGCTAAAAGTAGCGGGGAAAATGACGTCGCATGACCGTGTCACGTCATCCATAAAAAAATTCAGTTTCTCAGCTAGACTTAGCGGAAATATTAACGTCACATGACCACAACATTAATTCAATTTCCTGCCAAGTTTAGTTGGGCGGTTACGCCGACAGCGACGCCGCAAAACGCGGAAACGGGTGCTAAGAGCTGCGCTAAAAACTAAATGCATCAGGTGAAATAAAGTGAACATTAGAGATACTGTAAGAAAAAGAAGAGAATCTAAGATACCGTTCTCAGATCCTTCCTTTTGTCCGTTCTCAAATGTTTTGATTTCAAGAAATGTTTATCTCTTTATTCATACACAGAGAACCCCTCCCAGTTTCAGCATGAATGCAATAAATCAATGCAGACTAGACCTTGTAAACTATAATCCACATGAAAATGAATGTTTGCCACATAGTCATGTATGAGTCAGTAGCTCAGATCTCTAAATACATTTGTATTGAGGAACATTCTTGAATAAAACTTCTGGGCTTCGAATTCAACAGTTTGTACTCCCATAAGGAACACTGTATGGCACTGATTTCTTTTTTTTTTGTGACACATCAGAAACAGCACAGCACTGTCATCCTCGCATACCTAACAAGAATTTGTATTTTTTTTTTAGCATGGCATGTACTATTCTAATGCTCATACAGCATCCTTTAA